TACCATAATTGTTCCATAGTTGGTGTAATAAACAATGGGAGTAACGTGTTATAAAAGTAACGAATTACTGTAATGCATTGCGTTTTTGCTGTAACACAGTAATATAAGGCATTACAGGAAAAAAAAATTGTAATGTTTTATTCTTTTACAAATGTCAGTAACACACGTTACAATGCATTTTTACCCTGGATTAAACTGGTTCAGGTCTGGTTTAGTCCTGGTTTAGACCTAGTTTAGTCCTGGTTCAGTACGGGTTCAGCTCTGGTTCAGTTTTGGTTTAATCCTGGTTCAGTCCTCGTTTAGTTCTGGTTCACTCCATATACGGCGCAAAAGTTAATGCAATAGTAATGTAATGCCTTACATTTTAAATGCAGTAATATTATAATGTAACAAATTACTTTGAAATGACAGTTACAAGTCATAAATAATGTATTACAGTTTTAAAGTAAGGGCCTGGCTCCACTGCACGCATCAGCGTTTACGTGCGTAACCTCGCGAAACCACAGCCGCGTCAAGGCAAAGGCAGCTCCACCGGCAGCTGCAATTGGCTGTGTTTGTCAATGGGAAAGCCAATCAAATTTGACTGGGCGCGTTTAGCCGCTTGTATCAGGTCCACAGTGAAACTAACAGCTGAACAGACTTGTATTTACCTAGGGTGACCAAACGTCCGTTTTTCCCCGGACATGTCTGTATTTTGCGTCTTGTCCTGGGCGTCCGTTTTTTTTTTTAAGTGATGGAAATGTCCGGGTCATTAAATTGATCAGCTTTCGTAGTTCTCTGACTCAGAAGGAGCGAGCAGACACAAACAGTCGGTCAGCCTGCAACATACCGAAGCGTAAATGCGCATTTAACAATGACTTGTACAAGAAATTCTCAGTTTTCCATCCCGGTCGGGACAAGTGAGAGGCCATGTGCACAGGTTGTGAGTGAGAGTACAGTGGTCCCTCGTTTATCGCGGGGGTTCCGTTCTAAAAATAACCCGCGATAGGTGAAATCCACGAAGTAGTCAACTTTATATTTTACAATTATTATATCTGTTTTAAAGCTGTAAAACCCCTCACCACACACTTATACACTTTTCTCACACAGGACAGTTACAACCCTTTTTGCATCCTTCTTAAAACTTATTTCTGCTGTCGTCCTTTTGTTATTTTCCTCCTTCATTATGTAACGAACCCAAGATTCATTTATTCCGTAATAGAGCCCTATAGCGCAGAGTCCTGCACGGATCCATTTTTGGAGACCTGCAGTACAACACCGCACCCGCCCGTTAACCTGTGATTATCTCAAGCTTTTCCGCTGCCTATGCCATGGACTGAACCATGGACTGAACCATGGACTGAACCATGGACTGAACCATGGACTGAGCCAGGACTGAGCCAGGACTGAGCCAGGACTGAACCAGGACTGAACCAGGACTGAACCAGAACTGAACCAGAACTGAACCAGGAGTCAGAGTCGGGACGGGTCGGAGGTGACCGCAGGAGAAGGGACCGATGGAGCACTCCACACCTCACGGAGGTAAACGCGGCAATAGACTATTATCACGCTTCCAGGTTTTGTGGGCGGGGTTTATCTACTTTGTGCACCTCCACTTCCGGCGCAACAACAACAATGGCTCAAACGATGTCTAGATGTCACTGCTCTTTTTAAATTATGAAATAATCAGCAGGATCAATGCATATTCTTTGTAAATACTTTGTAATAGCTTTATAATTGGCAAAAGAAGTTACTGGGACCAGCTAAAGTTCCACAGCGGGAGCAGGACAAATGTATCAGACACAAAAAGGAGGGAAAAAGTCCGCTTCAAACAGGTGTTCTCGCTCTGTCTTTTTTATTTTCTTATAGCATCGTAAAGTCCATTGAAGTCCGAAACATCACGGTGCTTTGAGAAAACAAAGCACCGAGAAAGCCTGGTTAAAGCGGACTTTTTTTCTCCTTTACGTGCTAGCAAAAGAGACACTCGTATGCCGACGTTAGCTGACTGAAACTGAGAGGCGAACGTTCTTCCTCTCAGAATACAAATGACATGGGGGAATTTACTTGGCCTCATTTAAAAATTAATACTCTTGCTTTTGTTGGGTATGTTGGGTAAACGCCTTATATCCATACACCAAACTGACGTTAGCTTAAGCTAACCCTCCTGTTCTAAAGCATAGGCACCCTGTCCCGACATAAAGTCACTCCAACAGACCCGCACTCTGTCATACCGTCATTTCGACAACCCTCCAGCCCGACATGCCCCCATTCCGACACCAATGAACCAGGACTAAACCAGGACTAATCTTGAATGAGAGAGAGAAAAAGAGACAGAACCGCCATCCCGTATTGGAGGGTATTTGGCGTAAGGCTCTGTGCCATTAGAGCGCGCAGAGCTTTACGCACGCTGCTCTGTTGGCACGAGAGGGGGCCACATACGCCTGACCTCCTGCAGGTTAGAGCACGTGGAGGTGCCAGGTTAACTAGAGCGTAAAAGTCCGCAACTTTAAGTGCGCGCACGAGGAGAATGAGCGCTGCAGCCGCCTCTTTATAAACTTTTATGAGTTTATAAACTTTTATGAGTTTATAAGGGACCGACGCATTTCTGGGTCCCTGTGTAAGCCGCTGTGTCCTCTATGACCAGGTATAATTCTAATATTTTAGCCCTTATTCATGAAAATATCCAGATTCTTAAATCATTGATCTTTTTACTGTCTCTATCTGACTGCGAGCCCGGCACCGGTTCACTGTCGCAACACACTGAGCTTTACAGCGCATTCTCGTGCACCCTAGTCTTTGCCAACAGGTAATGAATGTCTCCTGCTCCTGTCCATTCACAAAAATGTCCAAACTGTCACACAATTCAGTTTTTCGTAGTTTCTCTGCTTAGCCGTATCATTGCGCCTTGAGCCAAATGCGCGTCACCGCGCGCTTCCACCTGCAGTGTCAGGTAACGCCCCGTAACCTCTTCATTCTTAAAGTTTCAAATTATTACGCGTCTGTCCCTTGTAGCTGCGCTGTTCAGCTGCACTCGCAGTACCAGGACCTTTACGCACAGTGGTGCGCCGTCAACAATAGGCTTCTGCCACTCCACCAAAGGATAAAGAAATGTCGGAGTGCAGGGACGTTTGATAAAAAATGGAAATGCCGTTACTCTGACAATAACACGTCAATATCGGAGTGATGGTATGTCGGATTGGCAACTGTAAAGTTATGTTAGCTAGTAGCCACTCACCTTCATAGTCGTAGGTGAAATTTTCAAAAAATAAACTGTGTCCGTTGTCCACTTTGGAGCGGGCTGTGATTTAATGTTGATCAATGAGACGATCTACGTCGGAAAAGGATATTTTCAGTAAATTTATAAGGGATGTAGTCTATGTAAACAACTTCGGTTCGTCCATCATGAGTTCAATCAACAGAGTGACAATTCACCGGAAGTAGGCGTGCACAAAGGTCACTGAATGCGGAAGTACTACGTATCAGCGTGATAATAGTCTATTGCCTGATCGCGCTGTGCAGACAAACAGCTCGGCGTTCTCTCTCTTAAGCCCAATATTAGTCCTGGTTTAGACCTGGTTTAGTCCTGACCCACCCATGGGTTAAAAAATAAAAATCAGCGAGACCGCGAAAGGTGAACTGCGATATAGCGAGGGACGACTGTAGCTCAATGTCGAGGCCCCACCTCCCACCCCCGGTAAGGTGTTCGGGTTTTCACAAATGGAAATATGGTCACCCTAATTTACCTTCTGTACAGGCCGCCCACTGCAAACGACAGGATGTCAAAAGTAAATTTTAAAGCACTTATTAACAGTCTTTCTGGACCTGGGTTCTTTCACACGATACAGATCTGCCCCAGGAGCACGATGTGCTGATGGTAAACGCACAAATACAACAATAGTTCAGTTCTGTGTCGCGTGAAAGAGCCCAGATCCAGAAATACTGTTAATAAGTGCTTTAAAATTTACTTTTGAAATCCTTGCGTTTGCCGTGGTCAGCCTGTACAGACGGTAAATACAAGTCTGTTCAGCTGTTAATTTCACTGTGGACCTGGTACAAGCGGCTAAACGTGCCCAGTCAAGTTTGATCGCCTTTCCCATTGAAAAAACACAGAGCCAGTGTCCCGCGCGTACGTGCCTTTGTGTTGACGCGCGGCTGTGGTTTCGCGAGGTTACGCGCGTAAACGCTGACGCGTGCAGTGGAACCAGGCCCTTACGCTTGCGTCGAGCGAAATACACATGCAGTGGAGCCAGGCTCTAAGCATGGGATCCGTGCGGCTGGTACCGATGTGGTATAAAACATCCAGACAGAAGCACGAAACCCGTTTGGTTGGTTTATGCTGTTCTGAGCGGTCCGTCCTTGCACATTTGGCTCTTCCAGGGGAAAGCGCACCTAACACCGCTCCCTGACCTGAATCGGAGCTGCTCCTGCTGGTTCAGGGCTCTGGTTTGGACCGCTGTTCCCCAGTTTGTATGAAGTATCCCAAACTTAACGACAAACCGAGATGACAGAGAAGCCGGCAGCAGCATAAGTGTGTGTTTTCTTCCGGGTGACGTAAATACGTTGGTGTCCCTGTCTTATCAGAACCTTTCCCCACCCCCAGACGCTGAGTGGAATGAAATAAAGACGATTTAACGTGTTTTCCATGTAAACCTCAATTCGGAATTATTATTTCTATTTAAACTCTATGGAGAAGAATTTAATTCCGAACTCGAGCACACCCCTTCCAGGGGATGTGTGGAGTCTGCCAGAATTCTTTTTCTTTCCTTTGCTTTTTTGACCAACCTGGATTTAAAAGTAAAACTTGAAACTTCTTAATTTACAGAAAAAGTGCATTCTCTGGTGGGCCTTACTGCATACAGCATACACCTGAGACTCATTTGTATACTGGTATACTTGTATTCTTGAACTACTTCTACTGCCTGGTAGTACGATTTTTTTTGAGTTGACAAGTGGCTACTTCACTTTTTAAAATATTAAATTTATGTGACAATTCTGAATTTTTTTTTTTTTTACTTTTCCAGGTGGAGCGTATTGTTGACAAGAGGCGGAACAAAAAGGGCAAATGGGAATACCTGATCAGATGGAAAGGCTACGGGAGTAAAGAGGACACTTGGGAACCAGCACACCATCTACTTCACTGTGAAGAGTTCATTGATCAGTTTAACAGTTTACGCATACACTCACAAAAACGGCCCAAAACATCCAGAATTCATCATCATTTTTCCAACCCAAAGGAAAATACTAGAGTTCAATCAGAAACTAAAAAGACCAAAAGGACTAGTGCATCCCCTGTGAGAGTTGGGACAGTGCTGGACATTGGAGGGGTCTCAGCTGGTACCACTCACAAACAGAAAAAGTTAGGCATTTCTAGTGAAAAGCACCCGATAGGGGATGGACTGAACAAAACTGTCACATACAAAGCCCCACCTGGTACTGGGCTGCCTCCTGTTCCTCCTGTGCCAGTGGATAGACATGCTCAGAATGGACTTGAGAATGGGGACATGGAGCCTGTCCTGTATAGAGCAGCAACAAGACCACAGAGACCTCCACCTCCAGAGAGAGTGGACCTAGGATTCACAGACATGACCCAACAACAGTTCTCCAGTGAACTTGGTAAGAACAGAATTACATTTTTATTAATTTGTTTGCAGTCGCAATGCCTTATTATTTTATAGTGCTAAAATATACAATGACTTGTGGCAGAATATGCCTTCACTGATTCCACAATGTGTGCCATATTACCCAAGAATGCCATTATGTTTGGACCAACAAGACTGCAAATAAGTGTGGAAAATGTAAATTAACAGAAAAGAGACAAGCCCTGGTGCAGTTATGGAAACCTGAAATCATAATCTCTTCACAAAAGTAGTATCTCGTTGATAACTATACATACAAAAATTTGTGAATACATACATGATGATGAATAATACATGAATAGCTACTAGTTTAATATGTATTTAGTCATTATTTCTTACTTGAAACTTAAAGAGGGGGTGTTATGCAATATATATATTGTTTTCTTTCTATAATGTTTTTCCCTCATCAATATCATCACTGAAGAGATTTTAGATCTCATCCATGCATCCATCCATCCATCCATCCATCCATTTTCGTCCGCTTATCCGGGGCCGGGTCGCGGGGGCAGCAGCCTAAGCAGGGACTCCCAGACTTCCTTCACCCCAGACACGTCCTCCAGCTCCTCCGGGGGGACCCCGAGGCGTTCCCAGGCCAGCCGAGAGACATAGTCCCTCCAGCGTGTCCTGGGTCTTCCCCGGGGCCTCCTCCCGGCGGGACATGCCCGGAACAGATGCCCGAGCCACCTCAACTGGCTCCTCTCGACGTGGAGGAGCAGCGGCTCTACTCCGAGCTCCTCCCGTGTGACTGAGCTCCTCACCCTATCTCTAAGGGAGCGCCCAGCCACCCTGCGGAGGAAACTCATTTCGAGCGCTTGTATCCGCGATCTCGTCCTTTCGGTCACTACCCAGAGCTCATGACCATAGGTGAGAGTAGGAACGAAGACTGACCGGTAAATCGAGAGCTTCGCCTTTCGACTCAGCTCCCTCTTCACCACAACGGTCCGATACAGCGACCGCATCACTGCCGAAGCTGCACCGATCCGCCTGTCAATCTCACGTTCCGTCCTTCCCTCACTCGTGAACAAGACCCCGAGATACTTGAACTCCTCCACTTGAGGCAAAGACTCCCCACCCACCCGGAGAGGGCAAGCCACCTTTTTCCGAGAACCATGGCCTCGGACTTGGAAGAGCTGATCTTCATCCCAGCCGCTTCACACTCGGCTGCAAACCGCCCCAGTGCACACTGCAGGTCCTGGTACGATGAAGCCAACAGGACAACATCGTCTGCAAACAGCAGAGATGAAATCCTGTGGTCCCCAAACCGGACCCCCTCCGGCCCCTGACTGCGCCTAGAAATTCTGTCCATAAATACAATGAACAGAACCGGTGACAAAGGGCAGCCCTGGCGGAGTCCAACATGCACCGAGAACAGGTCTGACTTACTGCCGGCAATGCGAACACAGCTCCTGCTCCGGTCATACAGGGACCGGACAGCCCTTAGCAAAGGGCCCCGGACCCCATACTCCCAGAGCACCCCCCACAGGACACCACGAGGGACACGGTCAAATGCCTTCTCCAGATCCACAAAACACATGTGGACTGGTTGGGCAAACTCCCATGAACCCTCGAGCACCCTATGGAGAGTGTAGAGCTGGTCCAGTGTTCCACAGCCAGGACGAAAACCACACTGCTCCTCCTGGATCCGAGGTTCGACTATCGACCGGATTCTCCTCTCCAGTACCCTGGCATAGACCTTACCGGGAAGGCTGAGAAGTGTGATCCCCCTATAGTTGGAACACACCCTCCGGTCCCCCTTCTTATACAGAGGGACCACCACCCCGGTTTGCCAGTCCAGAGGTACTGTCCCCGACCGCCACGCGATGTTGAAGAGGCGTGTCAGCCAAGACAGCCCTGCAACATCCAGAGACTTAAGGTACTCAGGACGGATCTCATCCAAACCCGGAGCCTTGCCACCAAGGAGCTTGCCAACCACCTCAGTGACTTCGGCCAGGGTGATGGATGAGTCCGCCTCCGAGTCCCCAGCCTCGGCCTCCTCCTCGGAGGATGTGACGGTGGGATTGAGGAGATCCTCAAAGTATTCCTTCCACCGCCGGACAACGTCCCCAGTCGAGGTCAACAGCTCTCCCCCCGCACTGTAAACAGTGTTGGTGAAGAACTGCTTTCCCCTCCTGAGGCGCCGGATGGTTTGCCAGAATCTCTTTGAGGCCGTCCGATAGTCCTTCTCCATGGCCTCCCCGAACTCCTCCCAGCTCCGAGTTTTTGCCTCCGCGACCACACGGGCTGCAGCACGCTTGGCCCGCCGGTACCCGTCAGCTGCCTCAGGAGTCCCCCGAGCCAGCAAGGCCCGATAGGACTCCTTCTTCAGCTTGACAGCATCCCTTACTTCCGGTGTCCACCACCGGGTTCTGGGGTTGCCGCCGCGACAGGCACCACAGACCTTACGCCCACAGCTCCGAGCAGCTGCATTGACAATAGAGGCCAAGAATGAAGCCCACTCGGACTCCATATCTCCGGCCTCCCCCGGAATCCTGGAGAAGTCCTCCCGGAGGTGTGAGTTGAAGGTCCCTCTGACAGAGGGCTCCGCCAGACGTTCCCAACAGACCCTCACTACACGCCTGGGCCTGCCAGGTCTTTCCGGCTTCCTCCTCCGCCAGCGAACCCAACTCACAACCAGGTGGTGATCAGTTGACAGCTCAGCCCCTCTCTTCACCCGAGTGTCCAAGACACGCGGCCGGAGATCAGATGACACGACAACAAAGTCGATCATCGACCTCCGGCCTAGGGTGTCCTGGTGCCACGAGCACTTATGGGCACCCTTGTGCTCCAACATGGTGTTCGTTATGGACAAACTGTGACTAGCACAGAAGTCCAATAACAAAACACCACTCGGGTTCAGATCGGGGAGGCCGTTCCTCCCAATCACCCCTCTCCAAGTGTCACTGTCGTTGCCCACGTGGGCGTTGAAGTCCCCCAGGAGAACAACGGAGTCCCCAGTCGGTGCACTGTCTAGTACCCCTCCCAAGGACTCCAAGAAGGCCGGGTACTCTGCACTGCTGTTCGGCCCGTAGGCCGACACCACAGTGAGAGACCTGTCCCCGACCCGAAGGCGCAGGGACGCGACCCTCTCGTTCACCGGGGTGAACTCCAACACACAGTGACTGAGCTGTGGGGCAATGAGCAGGCCCACACCAGCCCGCCGCCGCTCCCCGCGGCCAACGCCAGAGAAATGGAGAGTCCAGCCCCTCTCAAGGAGTTGGGTTCCAGAGCCCAAACTGTGCGTGGAGGTGAGGCCGACTATATCTAGTCGGTAACGCTCAACCTCCCGCACAAGCTCAGGCTCCTTCCCCCCCAGCGAGGTGACATTCCATGTCCCCAGAGCTAGTCTCCATGTCTGGAGATCTGGTCGCCGAGGCCCCCGCCGTCGACTGCTGCCCAGATCTCTCTGCACCGGCCCCATATGGATCCTCCTGCGGGTGGTGGGCCCACGTGAGGACGGCCCCACGTCGCTCCTTCGGGCTGATCATCCATGCATATTTTAGTAATTTAGCAATCTGTCCTGGATGCTATTTGAATCCTCGTTACTCCTTGTTCAGACTGCATCTGGTCTAGCTGCGACTTCTGAATCAAATTGTCTGGTTTTGTTGCGGCGTGTGTCACACTGCAACAAAACCGCTCACATGAGGACTGGATCTTTGCTGTGCTGTTGCGGTCACAGCCTTTGAAGCTACACGTCCAAGACCATGTGTTCGCACAAAGACATGAGGTCGGCTTCATCATCCTGCAGTAATAGACTCTTAACAAAATTAAACTAAAGTGCCATGGCCCCACCGAGGTCTGAGATGCTCTCGTGGCCACCAGACCGGAGTTGCACAACGTGCAGTCTGAGCCCCCTGGGTTATGATTAGGTCTATCCCAGTGGTTTCCAACCCTCGGGTCGGGGACCGGTACCAGGTCATGGGTTGGTTGGTACCGGGTGGCATAGAAAGAATAAAAACTTGCATTATTTCCATTTTATTTATTATCCAAGCTTTATTTTGAAAAATGACTGAAATCTCACCATTGCATCCATCTATGACTCACTCTTGGCTCATTCTTGACACATGACAAGATGCTTGTCTCGGTCATGTGATACATTAATGCTAATATTTAACCCACAAGCTAGCAAAATGAGTAAAAAAAACCAGACGTCTTTGGAAACGTTTATTATATTTACAAAATACCACAGTTTTTGTGTTGGATGTATCATTTTATTCTGTCGTATTTATCCACCACACCTTAAAGGCCAGTCCATGAAAATATTGTCTGACATTAAACTGGTCTGTGGTGCAAAAAAGTATCCAGTGCTCCCCCCTCAAGCCTATATCATCCATGCTCCCATACGACAATTCAAAAAAGCTTGATACAAAACTGTACACAACAACTTGACAAACCTGATGCGATTAGCGGGAAGCATGTTGATTGTGTTGTGCTAGGGGGAGTGAAAAATGAAAGTGAAAAAATGTTAATACATTTCAAATCATCATCAAATGTAGCATTTTCAAAACCATAACAGGTAACATGGTGATCTATGTGTCCACGGTTCATACCCCATAAATGTATAATACAACTAAGGAAAACTGCCAACATTTTGAAGTTTACCAAATTATTAGTACATTATATTATTATGCATGATAAGCCAGCCAAAAATGATCCCAAAAGACACAGTATTCTTCACTTCAGTCTATCTGATTGGCTGATAACACTTTCCAGTTTTCAGTTTTCACTCCTAGGTCACAGTCCAGAGCTTGTACTAGTGCAGTTAATGATTACAGACAAATTCATGAGATGAGATGTTGGCTTTTTTGCCTGTAAAATCATAATAATGATTAGGAAATCATTTTAATGTTGCTCATTAATGCCAAAGAATCATAGAGTACATACAACTTGAAAGCAAGTATTTCTGTCATTATTCTTTCCCATGTTAATCAATAGTGTTCACCCATAGTGAGCACAATTTTCATTAATTGTGATGTGTGGGTGCATTAATCCATAAAGTGCTTTCATAAAGTGCAATTAATAGCCAGATATACTGTATGTCCATATGTGTGATAGATGAGTTGATTTAAGTCAAAAACTTTAATTTATCTGATCCACTCATTTTCTCATCACCATCTAGTATGACAGAAAATGACTGACTTGTTTTGGTGACCTAAGGACCCCCTCACGTCAATGGAAAAATACATTTGCACAACTCGGTCAAACGGAAGCTGACTGAAGACAAATGCAGTGCCATTGACAAGCGGCTCAGGTACAACGTGCGACAGAACGAGAGCAACTGTCGATTCAGGGACATCGTGGTGAGGAAAGAGGAGGGCTTCACTCACGTGCTTCTATCCAGCCAGACAACAGACAACAACGCTCTGACGCCTGAGGTGAGGACATAATGGTTCTTCTCTTGAATTTTTATATTTATCATCACAGTTGTTCTTTTCTGGTAATAAACATTTAGTGTAATCACCCTGAAAGACTGTACAGAAAACAGAGAACAGAGAACTACGACTGAACATAGGCCACTGCTAAGACTCCAGTCTGATCTGGCATTTTAAATATAGATGTCCAGATCTTGACTCAGACTCAAAAATATCTCTTATACAGTAGTAAATTGCAACAGTCTGTAGAGCTGTAGACCTCCACCCGAAGGACGCTATCACAGAGACCTTTACCAGCATGCACCTCCACCAACATGTCCCTCACCATTTCCATAGTTTACTTTAGAAACAACAGTTGTTGCCTTAGTTCATTGTCTATTTAAGGTCATTAAAGTGATGAAGCTCATTTCAAATTATTTTGAGCGAAGCACTTAAGACATCACCATAGATTTAATTTCTAATTTGAAATGAACTAGCTTTGTATTGTCTCCACTCTCTGGCTCTACTCTGCCTGTTTAGTTAATTAACAGTTTAATACATTTTGTCACAAACAAAAAAAAATTATTTAATCGTCAACATAGGCCTAGGGCATATAGCATAGGCGTTTTAGATGTAGTTTGTCCATGAATGTATTGCCATCCCGTGTCTGGTTATAGTTAGGAAAAAAGTTTGGGCTTGTCTTTAATGTCAACTTTCATGGACTTTTGGCATGGCCATGTTTACTTTAGGAACCTGTAGATGGAGGCAAGGCACGGTGGCTGAGTGGCTAGCACTCATGCCTCACAGCAAGAAGGTTCTGGGTTTGATCCCCGGGTCGCCTGGGCCTTTCTGTGTGGAGTTTGCATGTTTCTCCACGTGTCTGGATGGGTTTCTTCTGGGCGCTCCGGTTTCCCCCATCAACCCAAAACATGCTACATAGGTCTCCATGAACAGTTGATAGTCAAGGTCAGTTAAAATACAATCAATCAATGAACCTACCCAGGGACAACAGGTGGAAATTAGCACTGGTGTTAGTGGCTAGACACTTCACCCCCATTGCCTAGTATGAAAGTGGTGTGTGTGTGTGTGTGTGTGTGTGTGTGCGTTTGTGATGGTGGTGGTCGGAGGGACAGTTGGCGCCGATTGGCACGGCAGCCGTGCTTCTGTCAGTCTGCCCCAGGGCAGCTGTGGCTACAATAGTACCTTACCATCACCAGGTATAGAGTGAATGAATAATGCTGAATGTAATGCTCTGTAAAGCGTCTTTGTGACAAAAATGTCTGTGAAAAGTGCTGTATAAAGAAAGACTTACTTACTTGAGGATCCTCCAGGTGGAGGTCTGTGGGTTGGGTCCTCTGGGTGGATGTCTACATCCAGACCCCTCTCAGAAATTATGTATGTGGCGGTTGAATATTTTCTGCATTTTTAATTGGTATTCTAGGTCCCTGGATGCAGCCATCTTCCTGTCTTTCAACCCATAGCCACTACTGCTCTCAAACTCCTTAACTCATTGTTTATTCATGTATTCCATGTGGACATTGCAATTACATTTAATAACCCAATGGAGACTATTGGAGGCTTTTAATATAATACAGTAGAAAATGTTAAGTTAGTACATCATGTTAAGTACATGTTAATGATAAGTGCACACCATTTAAATTACAACACAATAGCCTATACACATTTCATATATTGTATTTTTTGTGAGTACAGTTATGCTTTCAGACCTCTGTTAAAGATGTTAATGTCTGTCTAGACAGCAGTTTTAGGTCAGAGAGTTCCAAGCTGGGTCTATTAAAGGAGAAACAGGACTGTCCAAAAGACTACACTGTCCCCACTAAAGAAACATTGGGTGCCTGAGGGAGTACCAGTGTCTGACAGCAAGAACAGAGCAGTGTCGGCTGTTGGTTTAATTTTTTGGGGGGACCCCTAGGCCAAAATTATAAATATATATTATAAATATATGTATTATATATAGGCTATATAGCATTATAAGGACTGTACAACAAAAATTTTGGTCATTTTGGTCACTACTGGCCGAACTGAGCACAGCACACAGCCAAGCACAAAATTTACGCAGCAGCACAACTTGATCCACCGCTCACAACCTGCCCCAACAACGCAACCTGACACACTGCTCACAATCAGCCCCAATAAGACAACGTAACACACCGCTCATAATCAGCCCCAAGAACCAGCCCCAACAACACAACCTGATCCACCACTCACAGCTAACCCCAACGACACAACCTGATCCACCGCTCTCAACCAGCCCCAACAATGTCAGCAAAACTACAATAAGAGTCTGCAGTCATGACACATGGCATCAGCGCTGCTCCTACAATGCACATCTCAGAACACCGGAGCAGCCACAAACTCATTTATGCTCTGTTTACCTGTGAGGCTCCATCCTCAGATTTGTCCCAAACTAACGAAAAGAAGCCTCTTCCCTTCTCCAGAGGAGCAGAGTGTGTCCTCTATCTACTGTTCTGTTGGATCTGTCTAAACAGTATATTATTGTCCAGTATGAAAAGATGAAACCGGTCTAAGGTCCAGTGCAGTTAGGTCCACAAGTCAAGGTCCGGGAGCCGAGTGTATGTGCTGGTTATAAAACTAGTCTTAATCCTACTTCCCACTACTGCCCAGGTTAAACTTTTACACCCAGAAACAAGCAGGCAGAGGCTGATGGAGCAGCGAGCAACTGCCCTGGCAGCAGCGAGTGCCCCATGTCCCACCGGCGGCAGCGAGTACCTGTGTCTGTGCGTCCGCTTTTTTAGGTCTGATTAGCATTGTCGCTCCCTCGCTCTCTCCTGTGTGGAGGTTTAGGCAGAAGTAGCCACTATCCATTGTGTGATTCAAAATAAGAGTCGTAGGATATCACTGTAGCCAGATGCACTCATTCCAGTTTAATGCTTCTTTTCTTGCTTGGCAGAAGGGTCCTACTGAACAGAAGATATATTACTCCCTAAAAAATGTTCCTCGGACACACTTTGACTTGACGTTGAACTCGCCATAACTCGTAAAGTACATAGCACTGTTGTTCATTAGCCTGTAGTAGCATGCTGCCAGTGGAGATTTGGCGCTAGGCAGGAGAGAGCTAGCACGCTGAATCACAATAGGTCAAGTGTGTGATAAAGGTTTACGTAAAGACCAATAAAGACCAATCACTTGACTTTAGTTCGCTCCGAGCTACATCCCCAAGATTTACAGTGAAGTGAGTGAGTTAAAGTGAGTACACCCCTCACATTTCTGTGAAATGACACTTTGATACTATGTGAACTAGTCTGTGTACAGCTTGTATAACAGTGTAAATTTACTGTCTCCTCAAAATAACTCAACACACAGCCATTAATGTCTAAACTGATGGCAACAAAAGTGAGTACACCCCTAAGTGAAAATGTCCAAATTGAGCCCAAAGTGTCAATATTTTGTGTGGGCACCATTATTTTCCAGCACTGCTTTAACCCTCTTGGGCATGGAGTTCACCAGAGCTTCACAGGTTTCCACTGGAATCCTCTTCCACTCTTCCATGACGACATCACAGAGCTGGTGGATGTTAGAGACCTTGCTCTCCTCTACCTTCCGTTTGAGGACTCCCCACAGAGGCTCAATAGGGTTTAGGTCTGGTGACATGCTTGGCCACTCCATCACCTGTAGCCTCAGCTTCTTTAGTAAGGCACTGGTCGTCTTGGAGCTGTGTTTGGGGTTGTTATCATGTTGGAGTACTGCGCTGTGCCCCAGTTGTCAAAGGGAGGGGATCATGCTCTGCTTCAGTATGTCACAGTACATGTTGGCATTCATGGTTCCCTCAATGAACTGTAGCTCCCCAGTGCCGGCAGCACTTCATGCAGCCCCAGACCATGACAATCCCACCACCAAGCTTGACTGTAGGTAAGACACACTTGTCTTTGTATTCCTCACCTGGTTGTCACCACACATGCTTGACATCATCTGAACCAAATAGTTTTATCTTGGTCTCATCAGACCACAGGATATGCATCCAGTAATCCATGTCCTTAGTCTACTTGTCTTTAGCAAACTGTTAATGGACTTTCTTGTGCATCATCTTTAGAAAAGGCTTCCTTCTGAGACCAATTTGATGCAGTGTGTTGCATATGGTCTGAGCACTGACAGACTGACCCCCCACCCCTTCAACCTCTGCAGCAATGCTGGCAGCACTCATACGTCTATTTCCCAAAGACAACATCTGGATATGACGCTTAGCATGTGCACTCAACTTCTTTGGTCGACCCTAGCAAGGCCTGTTCTGAGTGGAACCTGTCTGGTTAAATTGCTGTATGGTCTTGGCCATTGTGCTACAGCTCAGTTTCAGAGTGTTGGCGATCTTCTTAGAGCCTAGGCCACCTTTATGTAGAGCAACAATTCTTTTTTTCAGATCCTCAGAGAGTTCTTTGCCATGAGGTGCCATGTTAAACTTCCAGTTACCAGTATAAGAGATTGTGAGAGCGATAACACCAAATTTAATATACCTTCTCCACTTACACACCTGAGACCTTCTAACACTAACAAGTCACATGACACTGGGGAGGGAAAATGGCTAATTGGTCCAGTTTGAGCATTTTCACTTAGGGGTATACTCGCTTTTGTTGCCATCAGTTTAGACATTAATGTCTGTGTGTCGAGTTATTTTGAGGGGACAGTAAATTTACACTGTAATACAAGCCAGACTACTTCACATTGTATCAAAGTGTCATTTCTTCAGTGTTGTCCCATGAAAAGATATAATTAAATATTTGCAGAAATGTGAGGAGTGTACTCACTTTTGTGAGATGCTGTACTTCAGGGCTGCAATGTAAAGTAATGGGCAAAAGCACCGTACTGATGTCAGATTTTCTCAACACTTTAGGCTCTCCCATAGAACTCTATTGAGTTTGCTTTGACCCAGCGAACTCAAAGGGCAAACACATGAATCAAGTAATATGAGTAGATTAACGTGATAAAAATATGTCTACGCAGATGCAGCCTACTTCAAAATAACAACTCTATACATTTTTATCTAGGTCAAGTTAGTGCTCATTATTAAAAAAAAAGTATTCTTAAATTTCAAAAGTGAAACTTGTTTATCACTTACACCAAATTGCCATATTATTGGTTATCTTGGCCATATGATGGTTGAGTGGTTACCACTTATGCTTCACAGCATGAAGGTTCTGATCCTTAGGTCCCCCGAGGCCCTTCTGGGCAGAGTTGACTTGTTTCTCCCTGTGTCTGGATGGGTTTCTTCCAGGCACTCTGGATTGCCCTGTCAAACCAAAACATGCACCATAGGTAAAATCCTTCAGGTAGTCTAGACCAAGCCTAGCTACAAGATCACAACGATGGGTACCCGAGCACTGCACCCACTGCTTATGAGAAGATGCCCCAGTGCATTGAAGGATTTCCCTACGTGGACAACAAAGGGTATCTTATCCTTAATCTATCAAAATCTTCAAGGTGTACATTTTTAGTATACAAGACAAACAGCTGTTACTGTCAAGCTGGGTAAACATAAAGATAAGGGGCATTCTAGGGGCATAGATGCAGAGACAATCTTGCTTGACAAGCTTTTTGGGTAAAACAGAATAAAGCCATCTGTTAATGCAGATTAATAACAGACAGAAATGTGAGAAAATTGCAGATAAAGCTATTTGTCAAATTGTATTGTTTTTCCATCTTCATATTGCTGTGTTCAATGTCAGAAAGTAGTAGGTATGTGTAATTGATAGTTACTTGTCCATTTGGTAGATATCTGAATACAAGGAGCATCTCAAAAGGAACGATCTAGATTAACTGTGCATTCATTAATTTTAAGTGCATGTATAATTAGTTTAAACAACAGCCAGCTATGTAGGAGTTCACAATTACCTGGGCCATGCTGTGTTGAATGTCTGTCGTCACCACAGAAATGTGTCTGTAAAATCACAGCTAAACCTTTGGTGGTAAAATTCCACAATAATTATCTCTAAGAAGAACTAAGAACACTTGGTGTTGATCTGTAATTTTTTTATCTCATACATTAGGCTGCTTTTTACTTGCCTGCTGTTGCTTCTTAGTATACAGGAGCTCTGATGATCCACTTGTAAATCTGCTTTGTGATTGGTCAGTAAAACTAGCCAGCAATCAACAACAAGCTGACCATTTTTCTCAAAGGCATAGAGGCTTCTAATGCTCAGTTCCTTCTCTGTCTCTCATCTTTACAACTTAGTAAATAAATACACATAAAAACATGAACCTACTGCTGTTTTAGATGTAATGTTATTAATATGCACTTTATCTTTATCTGAGTACAATGGTGTTTAATATACCACCTTTTAATATCATATCTTGTGTGATATAGGTTTGGAGGTGTTCACTCCTTGAATCAAATGTGCACATATACCTTTGTAGACCAGTACCACAGGCTCGACAGAAATGTAATCCAGTCATTACAACCAGCTCTTATCAAACATATTCATATAACATACATTATATTGACAGATTTAATTAATCAACTTGATGCCTTAGCTAATCATATTTTGACTAAACAAGAACAAATCAAATGTGTGTTACTATTATTGTGACATAGGCTAATCTAATGCAATGTTAATGTTTTATTGTTTAAAAAAATAATAATAATATCCTTTCCATTTTTTTTTTTCTCCAGATCATGAAGGAGGTGTGCCGTGCTCTGGGCAATGCTGCTACAGATGACAGTAAGCTGTTACTGCTCAGCTCTGTGGGCACTGTATTCTGCAGTGGGCTGGAACCATCCTACCTGATCGGCCGTCTGTCCACTGATCGCAGGAAAGAGAGCAGCCGCATTGCCGAGGCTGTACGGTAAGAAAGCATCAACCCATCCAAGCAGTCTTTTAGAATTAATGCTGATAACTCATTTTACGTCTTACCCTTACTCTTAGAGACTTTGTGTTGGCATTTATCCACTTCAAGAAGCCCATTGTAGTGGCCATAAATGGGCCAGCTCTGGGTTTAGGGGCATCCATACTGCCCCTGTGTGACGTGGTTTGGGCAAGTGAGAGAGCCTGGTTTCAGACTCCATGTGCTGCCCTGCACCTCACCCCCTCTGGCTGCTCGTCATACACATTTCCTCAGATCCTGGGGGTATCTCTAGTGAGTCTCAAGCACATTATACGAACAGTTTGAAAGTTATCAAATATAGAAAAATGAGGACTTTGACTCTGTTTGTCTCCCCGTTGGCAGGCTAATGAGATGTTGTTCTGTGGGAGAAAGTTGACTGCTCAGGAGGCATGCAGTCGAGGCTTGGTGTCACAGGTGTTCTGGCCCACCACATTTAACCAAGAGGTCATGTTACGGGTGAAGGAAATGGCTTCTTGTAATGCAGTGGTAAGTTTGTATTACTTTGACCCTAAAAAATTTACTGTATGGTTCTGAGCTGTAAGGTACTATATATTCTACCTTATACTAACCCACTTTTGGGTTCTTAGCCAGGAATTGTTGCTTAAAAGTGTGATATTTCTGTTAAAGGTTTTAGAAGAGTCTAAATGTCTTGTTCGGGGCATAATCATCTCAGTTTTGGAGGAGGTGAATGAGAAGGAGTGTCAGATGCTGAAGCAACTCTGGTGTTCTACTAAAGGTCTGGAGACACTGTTCAGTTACCTTCACAACAAGTCCTATGACAAGTGAGCGACTACTGCCTAAACAGAAGTAATGCTGTGATTAGCTGTAAATGAAGGATGCGCTTAAGTGCAGTTTATTTATTTTCTATGATGTAACTGATTTTATTCGACATATTTTAATCTAAAAGAATCAGTCAAAGGTCTGTTATTTCAAAGCAGAGTATATAGACATATACAAAGTCTATTTATTTGTGTATTTCTATTTTTAAAAATACCTGAATAAATATTTTGGTAGTTAATGCCTATGCTACTTTAACATTCCTGAGATTCTTGCTAAAGAAAACTCACCAATTTCAATGGCTGTTAACAGTTTAAGCAAGGTTACTTATGGCATACAATATTATAAATTGTTGGGGTATACAGTATCATCCATAGTTTAACTTTTGTGTTTTTGCTTTGCCTGGAATTTTTCACACCTTACCTTGCATTTAAAGAACTTCAGGTGTTTTATTGCTAAGAAATACCTTGAAATACATGAATTCCTTCTGTGACCAGGCTGGCCGCTCCATAGATGGGACATATAACAAGGCTTGGTAACTTCACCTTCTTCTTTCTATGTAGATAGATATAATGCCATACTGTGGCATTCCAGACAAAGCAATAACATCTCAGTGGAGACCAGAAAATGTGGATGTCCCCCTCCCTGAAAATTTATAGTACACTGTTTAAATATAATTGTCTTACAAGAATGTAATAATAGTCTATATTATAACATAATGCATCGCATAAACAGCACTTATTTTTAATACATGTTTTGAACTGTGAGGTTTGAATCAAAAGATAATTAATTATACACATAGGTTCTTACACTGACCAATCTTCATTTAGTCCAAGTAGTGCATCTTTTTAATGTAATTGTCAAGGAAAGATTTATAGGTTGGTGTAGTTAACTTGAATATATGTACAATATATGTTTCTCCGTTGAATATGGTATGTATTTATTTGTGTTTCTGAGCACAGAACTGGAAACGCAGTGTAATGTATGCAGTTGGAGTCCTAGTCCTTGTCTGCATGTGACAAACTATCTTGTAAAGAATCATGTTCTGCATAACAACGAAACTCTTAAGTGTGTGTAAACTGTCCTTTTAGATTTTCAGCAAGTGTAAAAATGCATCTGAGAATATTAACACAAAGTGGATTTTGTAAATAGGTGCATGTGCTTACATTTACTGTATTTATATAAATGTTGTATGTTTTGTACCAGGATTGTAATTATGGTAGAAATCTTGCAAGTTATTTTTCTATTTATTTGAGATACATTTTGGATATGCAGTGCCATGCGGTTTGCTTTGCTTTAGAGGAACCCCAACAATTTAAAGCATTATTGGCCAGTATGTATATATATATATATATATATGTGTGTGTGTGTGTATATATATATATATACACATACACACATATATATATATATATATATATATATATATATATATATATAATATATATATATATATATATATATATATATATATATATATATATAAATTAAAGAAGTCTTTGCATCTTAACAGATTTTTAAATACACACATCTACAGAAATGAAAGGTTTATACAAGCCTGAGCTTTTGTACTCAAAAGCACTTGGTGTGAGTCACAGTTGAAGTGTCACTTAAAGCCATCAACTCAGGTATGCTCGAATGATCATGTATCACGATTATTTATTTACAAATGTATTTATTTGATTATTAACCTGAGATGGTTTACACTGACTTCTTTGCAGAGTGTTTGATTTAATTTTATGTTAAAAGTGTTTCCCCAGGCATAATATGTATATTCGAGCATGAGTTTGAGACATGTTTCTTGTTTCTATAATTTGTTATGATACAATGCAAATAACTGAATTTTTATTGTGATAATTTAAGGCCTGTTTATTGCCATCAGCATAATGGTTGTTGTTGATCTTTTCCCTGTCTGAAATCCCAGGGTGCCTTAGATATGTCAGAATTGATCCATATATTTTTATGGATAGTAAATTGCATTCAATAAATCGGTCCTTTCCCAGGGTACCTTTTGTCTTCAATACATTGAAAAATATGGAATAATCACATATACATTTAACACTGATTTGATCATTTATTCAGAAACTTGTCTTGAGTCAGTATAATCCCACATTGTAGTTGTAAATAATACCCACATATTTCATTTATTTCACTGATCAAACTGTTTCCTGACCAGCCATAATGTGTCACTTAGGGAATTGCATAATTCTGATTCCCAGCAATGCATAGATTTGTGGTAGCTCTTCTATTGTAGACCTTATATAACAACAAAAACAACAGTTTAAAGTCAATTTAAAATTTCTCTCTAGAGCCTTCCTTTATCCTCCTCTTCATTTCCAGAGCATGTTGCTTGCTGCGTTCTCTCTTTTCTAGGCGCTGTGGAGACGAGAAGAAGTTGGTTACAATTTGAAGAAATTATATATGTACTGCATTACAGTGCTGCGATCTACCAACACAACGTCTCACCTCTTTTTTCAGACAATTACGCATAGCACGATCAAAATCATTACATGTTCCAAAAAATTTCATAAAGTTGTGCTAGAAAGAAAATTTTAAAAAATGTATCAATCAATATATTTTAAATACAAGGGAATGCACATTTCAGCTACCTCCTGATGGCACTTCCTGAGCTGAGAAATCAGTTCATTGCACTCCTCTGTGTGCAGGTGAGGTGACAGGTCCGTGTGCATGCTGAGTTAAGGGCCAACTGTACCTCTGCAGGACAAATGAGGGTTCAGAAGAATTAACAAGTTGTAGGGAGTGTTCTCTAATAATTGTATGAAGAAAACGTAAACATGCATTTTTTTTTAAACAACACTATATGTAAGAATTTAATATTCATCTTAAATGATAAGAAACTAACTTGGAACAGCTATAGATATGCCTACATAACATTAAAGCATAGGTGCCTTAATGAAGGATACTAGCGCCTCCATATCCCTCTCCTTCCTGTTCAGTCATTTTGATGTTGATGTAAATTTCTCCACTGGAATCTTAACTGCAAACACAAGAAGGACATCTAACTAAAAGTGTCATTGACACATCAGACCTAGTCTGCAACAGAAACTATATAGATGTTATGTAAAACTACAGTAGACCAATAGACTATGTACTATGAATAACACACAATAATAACAGTGTGGGCCTTGTACATAGAACTCATGGGGGGAAAAAAATCTACACTTACCGGTAGGCCTATATGTCATGTCATTGAAGACTGCTTACTTGAGTAGACGGGACGAGCAATACACGGGTTAGTTATGCGCTATAAATCGATTAACGACCATTAGATTATCCAGGCAGTATCTCCAATCACTAAAGCAAACTCACAGGTGCTTAAACCGAAGGTAAAATTAATCGTTATCTCGTATTTCTTTGTTGATCTCTAAAGAGAACGCTTACCAAATAACATACATAGGGCATGCGCACGAGACAACAGAGCAAGCGCCAATCATCGTCTCTGCCAAACAGCCAATGAGTTGTGGTTTTCTCATTGTAGGCGGGACTTATACGGATTTTTTCTTCTACTGACAATTCTACGGTACGATACATTTTTGAAAAGCAAAATTATTTTTTCAAAGTAAAATTAGAGGTTAACTGAACCCTTCAAAGTGGCACGCCTTTTGGTGTATTTTGACTTTTTGTTTTTTTCAGCGAGTTCGTTCATTATCATTATTATTATTATTATTATTATTATTATTATTATTATTATTATTATTGCTGTTGTTGTTTATTTATCTATTTCTTGTTCATAAACACAATAGGTACAGGGCAAAATAAAGAGTAAGTGGGCTTCAATGGTTTTAAAAACTGCCTCTTCTTTTTGCTATTAACATAATTGTCCTTTAGGAGAACGTAGATCTTATAAATGTTCTAGGTACAACCATAGCCTTTGTCTAGCCTCAGCCTTGAAACCCACTTTTGGGTTCTTGTTTTTAAATATTTTAGAAGACTTTACTTGCTTTGTTGAGGGTATAATCATGTTATCTTTATGTAGGGGGTGAATGTCCACTAGGGGGAACCCATAGACCTTAATTATCAAACACCTATTTTCAACCTGGTCTTTTTGCTATCGCTCAAAGGCATTATTTTGTTATCACAGAAATTTGCCCTGGATCAGTTCACTGACATTCGCAGAGACGTGTTTTGCTTGTTTTGCTATTCGTGATGTCATTGTGACGATCGGATCCCCATAATTAAAGAGTGCATTGCTCCGGTATCTCTTGCATAGCCACTTCTTAGAGTGAATCTAAAATTGAATGCAACCTTTATAAACAATCATGCATTCACTCAATATTTTGTAGTATTATGTAGCCAGGTCTACTTTTAGACCTACCACAGTTTAAATAACGCTACAAAAATTAACGTATGACAAAATAAGATGTTCTCCACATTTGTCACAGTAACATCATGGTATCTGATAGACAAAATTATAAAGTTTTATCAATGCAGTAGGCCAAGCAAACAGGGACATTTTATGAAATTCTTGTTTTATTATGAAAGTCAACGGAAGTTTGGCAGATGACGTATATTGTATTTCCGGGGTTGATATCTGCGTGGATGGGATGATGGCAACGCAAAGCAAGCGAAATACTGATCTGATGGAATTTAGATACGTATTACTTTAACGCTATTGGTAAGGTATTTTAAAAAAGAAGATTTTTGGCATAGAAAATGGCTTCGTTTAAATCCAGTGAAGTTGAAGAGGGAAAGTATGCGTATGCCAACAATCAAACACGCCTCGAGTCTGCGTCGCAGTCTCGGGAAATAATAAAACCCTCAGTCACGGAGTTGACTAAAGAAGTCCGAACTAACATCCTCTGCACAGTGGAAGGATGTGGGAAGATTCTTCCAAACACGCCTGCTCTAAACATGCATCTTGTCAAGTCCCACAGAGTCAAGGTAAACAACTAGGGCTTATTACTACACATGGCAAGCTTTTTGTCGGCATAAAATGATCATCATGCAAATGTAGGTACAGTTAATTAAAAGTGGGTGGCCCCTTTTATCTGACACTCCTGTATCCTAACCTTAATTAACTGAAGTAGTGTAAAAATCCTAGTTACCACAGTGCATTTCGTTATGTCCTGCTGCTCGTCAATCACCTCAATTCTATTTTGGGGTGTGAGTTTTGCTTTTTCTGCCTTTCTGTCTTTATTGACATTTGTCATCATGCAAATGCAGTTCTGAATATAAATCATTTCAACTTTGAAAAGGCCACTAATTTTCTCTTTTCACTTCCAGGATGGCATTGTAAACCCTACTGTAAGGAAAGATATGAAGGGTTCTCAGAAACTTTACTGTTGCCCTATTGATGGTTGTCCCAGAGGCCCAAGCCGACCATTTTCACAATTTTCTTTAGTGAAACAAGTAAGTATGATATTATTTCTCCTTTCTTAAACATACGGAAAGTAGAATTAATACATAACAATTATTAAAATACAAACTACACAACAATACAAATTTCATGTTCATTTGACTATTGGAAACCCTCTGCTCCAAAAGAGAAGTTTGTAAGGGGCTTATCTCAGAGCTTCATGCTCACGAAAACAACTGCTCAAAACCAGAATCTCAGTCAGGAGGGTCCAACAAATTGAGCATCCTTGTGGCCAGAGTGATCGACAGTGTCCCATCAGGGAACACATAGGTGGCTCGATGTACATTATAAAGTCCCAGAGCTACTGGTAAAAGGCCAAGGCACAGTTCAAATGCAGAACATGCCAGTGCAAAATTGCATCTGGTTTGGTAGTGCTCTGGTGTTATCTGATTTTATGTGTTGTATTGTGTATATGTATAACATTGTTTGATTTGCTTTTATTTGTTTGCCCTATTTTTTTCAATAGCATTTCATGAAGATGCATGCAGAGAAGAAACACAAGTGCTGCAAATGTAACAACGGCTATAGCACAGAATGGGATTTAAAGAGACATATAGAAGATTGTGGAAAGACATACCAATGTACATGTGGCTGCCCATATGCCAGCCGGGCTGCACTTCTCTCTCATGTTTACAGAACAGGACATGAAATTCCTACAGAACACAGGCATGTATAAGCAACACACTTTTAGAGAGATTGCTAATTTTTTTAATTTGATCTATCAATTTTGCTTCTTCACAGAATTCCTCCAGTTAAGAAAAGAAAAATGGAGAAAGAGCTGAATGCTTGTGAGAAGGTTAAGGATACTACTCCCCACAATATTTCTACAGTTGGAGAACCAACAGAGGGCTCTCATTGTCAGGAGACCAGTCATTCATCAGATGCTGTTAATAGGAGATCAAATTCTCAAAAGACTTTTCAAAAGTTACTGTTGCCTAAACCAAAAATGGCTATTGTCAGTGTTCCCATCATGCAATTAGCACATCTGCCAGTTCTCCTCCCATCTTCAGAAAGTGGAGCTTTAAGACCTCTTGTACTTGCGATTGATAACCAAGGATCAGTTGGCAGCTTTCACCTGGTACCTCAAGGCACAGAAGGCAGGAAGGATGCCATGAGCTCTTTGAATTCTAACCAAGACCCCAAAAGCATTGGTGTTCAAGTGAATTTAGATCCTGTAGTAATGGAGGACTCTGGTGCACGAGGAAGAAGCATGTCGACTAATATACAGACTGATCAGTCATACTTGTCCAAAGTGCCTGCATCAGTGACCGAAGCTGTGACTGTATATTCTGTTGCTGAGTCTTCGGTGTCGTCCTGCTCCCAAACAGACATCAGTGTCAGTGCTCAGGTGCTCTTGCCTGTCAGCGTGGAAACTCAGACCTCGTTAAGAGCCAAATCTACTGCATCTATTGGAGCACAAACCGAAACCCAGTCCTTGTGCCAGATTTCATGTTCTTCTTCTATTGTACCCCCATTCAAGAGTAGACGGACACAGACTTGCTCTGTCAAGACTCAGAATCTAGCTTCCATGTGTTCTGACCCATTCAGTGACCATAGCCTCAGTGTGTCTACTCAGACAACAGTTGTGGGCCTGGACACACTGAATCCTGGTGGGAGCAATATATATGGGGACATGAAGTCTGCAAGTTCAATGTGTTTTGCTGTGCAGACAGAGGACCTTAACACAAATAACATGGCAGACAACCAGACTCAAACCATGTCTTTGCTGAATGACTTGGAGAATATTTTGTCCGATAGCATGTCTGGCCACCAGGTACTTACAGAGACTGCAGCAGGGTGTGGGGCTAGTCTCAGCTCTGTTCAGGACCAGCATAATGGCATAGACTTTGACTTTGAGGACTTTCTCAGTGCTGTACATATCCAGACGCAGACAGAGGAGAGTGAGTTTGGGGGACTGAGTAGTGACACACACCTGGAGTCTTTAGACATCCAGACTCAAACTGACTTCCTTCTCATGGATGAACTAGACCAAACTGGAGGACCAAATCGAAACCAAGCTCATGATCTTGAATTATTTGATACACAAACCCAGACAGATTTAAATTTTTTGCTAAATGCTGGCAGTCATGTACCACTTGGCAGCATATTACGACATTCAAGTTTTTCTATGAGCACTGAATCTTCAGATACTGAAACTCAGACTGATGTTCCTGCCTTTCCTTCAAGCTTTTCAGCTCAGACTCTTTCGGTTAATCAAGGAGACAGTGCTAGGTTACTGAGTAGCGCAGAGACTCAGACTGTGACCAGCCAGGCAGAGGGCCTCGGCCAACTCTTCCTGATCAGTAATGAAACACAAACTGTCATGGATGACTTCCTGTCAGCGGACCTGGCATGGAATATGGAGTCCCATTTCAGCTCGGTAGAAACGCAGACATGTGAGCAGCTCAGTGCTCTCTTTCCACGGCCACAGAAGCCCAATAGCTGAAGATGACCAGGCTAGAGTGATACAGGCTTCAAATTTCCTCTTCATTGGAGGAACTGGCATAAACTGCTTACAGCATTTGACGGGCTAATGTGAAAAGTGTGAAAATGTTTAAGGCATTCCACTGAGCGACCCCTCTTATGGAGTTGTTCGTTGACTGCACTTTATAGCATGTTGGACATGATGATTGACAGTTTACAGATTTGTTTGCACATAAACCCATGCTTTGTTTGACAAAATTTACATTTTATTGACTGACATCTGACTGTCACACTGACACTGACAAAACATTTTTATCTCATTTATTTTGTCTGAAGTATCTTTCGTGTCATTAACATGAGAAATGATGGAACGTCACCGTATGGCATACCGTGTTTTAAGGGCACTGCATGGGTACTGTATGCTTTTTACAGTTTTGGCCCTTCTTTTTCTTAGTTTACAAATGTAATTTGAAAAGCATGAACTAGACCTAAAAACACTAGAGATGTTTCTGCTACCAGTAGTTGCCTCTTGAATGCTGCATTGTGAAAAGCAGCAAGACTGCACATTAGGTGAAGAATAGAAGTTAAAAGTGTCTAGTCATGTTATTGTACTGATTAAATGGAAATGTACTTTTGATGTGCAAACCTGTTCTTTGTCTTAATGTACGTATATTTGTGTTTGTAGCCAAATCCTTAACATTTGGTCTGTAGGCATTACTGATGTGGTGGTACAATAGCAAATTAGTAATGTTACTGCTTGGCACAATTTTAATATTAACTGAAGGCTAGATTTGTGGAATTGTTCAAATCGGTTGCTTTTGTAATTGTTTTTTGTGTGTGTGTGCATGTGACTTGATCTTTGCACTACTTTACCTCATAAAGCACACACCCACCTTATTACTACTTCTCTAGGAGGACCTATAGGCCTTGATTATGTGTTAATTTAAGTCGGTGCCTTTCCTTTCATACAACTGCTGAAATGTGAATGAAGAAACTACACTTCGAAAATATTTGACTGCATAGATATTGCAATGTCCACCTTATTTCTGTTCTGCATGCTTAAAGAAACACAGTTGCTGGTTTCATTTAATACATTATTATCATCAACAATTGCAGGTTAAAGAAATGTGCAAAGCACAAGGTTGAAGAAGGAAAACTAAACCCTTTACCCCCCAATTCCATCCTATAATATAGTTACATTAAAGGGAAAAACAAAACTAGCACTTTCTATGTGTTCTATTTTATGTCATGTAAGTGCATGCTTAAAACTTACTAGCACAATTAATGTGTTGAATATGATTTATCTGTATACATTGAATTGCATATAATATTTGTGATGTACTGCAGATATCACAAATAAAGTGATGGCAAAATGTGTGTGGGACATTTAATGAGTTTGAGATTGGCACCTGATGTGGTAAAGTGATCACAGTTTAAAATGCATATGACTTGGTTTGGTGAAATAGCATAGCCTTGCACAGCAAATGATACTTGTGAGTTCACAAACTCAGAGCAACACCTATCAAAATAAGAGTTATTTATTTTTATTAATCAAATCAGGATTATTGTTTACCAGTAATTTAGATTTGGCCCTTCTTAACATTATAGTTTGTTCAACAGTAACAGTTATAATTTTTAGTACATTCTTAAATGTGATGTTATCTGTGAAAGCTAAGCACTAGTCTAACCTGTCAGATGCACTTAACACGTGTAACAGGGTGTTAAAGAAATAGACACAAAAATGTTTGCGTTGCATTGTATACACATTACACTATGTTTTTGTCTAGGAAGATGACATTCAAAAAATAAAGTGTATTGTCACATTATTATTACCATTTATTTTTTGGCGTTCTTGTACTTCTTAGAGATACCTCCCACCTTCAGCTCTATAGTCACAAGTTTACTGTAGAGATAAAAATGAGTATCACTTGCAAAGAAACAATCCAAACCCAGTCTAGTGGGAACCACTTTTAACAATGTTATAGACTTCAATTAATATAATCAAACATGTCCATAAAATGTGCAATTTCAACCATTTATTTCTTTGCAGTCTTTGAGATAAGTCTAAGAGTATAAGCAGCTGGGATGCATTTGGACCTGCCTGTTTTCTGCAGTTCCGGAGTGAAGTGTCTTGCTCATCGAGTACCCAGCGGGGTGCAGTGTTTCAGGTTTGGAGGACAGTGTTACATGATACCTCTTAGGGACTGACACACTCACAGCAGAGTAATAGTTGGGGTTATGTTGGCATGTCCTGTACTTGGAAGAAACAGTCTCATTGTAGGCGCCCTTGGGAAGTTCAGTAGTGTAAAACAGGTCACCTTTTGTTCCTCGGATCCTGCTTATCTTATTAATTAGGAAAAAATGTTCCAATCCCGATTCACCTTGTTGATGTTTGTTGAAGTTTTGTTCATTTTGTGGCATATTGATGGGTGGCAGAAAGGAAAAGTTTTTAATAGGAACTAATGCATTGTTAGTCTTGAGGCGGTTTTTCCGAGACTTTGGTGACCTGGTGTCCCTTGTCTGATCTGTCAAGCTGAGCTGAGCTATTTGTTTGGAAGTGCCATTTACGAAAGATATTTTTGAACTTTCAGGTGTTTGGTTTGGTGCGTTATGCTTGGTACATGCACATGAGTTCTGGCTTGATATCGTGGACCTTAATCTAGTTGGAGGCCTCAATTGTGTCTCACTGGGTTGTTCAGCTAAATTATCTGTTTCTACAGATGTGGAACAATCGTGTTCTACATCCTTGTGATTTGCTTTATTGTCAGTCTTCTCGACCAGAAGAAGCGGGGCGAGTGGCGCGACTCTTGCCCAACCACCCACCTGTAATGATATTGTGACAATGTCACTTATACAAGCTGGATAGTAGAATAAAAAGGTAAAAACAGGTTTACTTACAGCTTCCTCCCAACCCTGGTTACATTGATACTTGTAGGGATGCAGGTCTTTCATGAACTCTTCCTCACTTAATACAAGCAAAACATTGACGTGTCCTCGGTCTGGTGTTTTGTCTGTCCTCCGCTCCACTCTGCGTGTCTCATTACATTGTTCAGTAGGACCACTGACCACTACTTTCCAATTTGCCATTATAAGCACAGGCTACTTCCGTCGTCCAGTCTTGCTGGCTAAAAAGCATAAAAGCAGATTTATAACTACTACACTCAGATATATTTACAAAAAGCCTCTTACTCACGCATTTCATTTTGGCACGTACATTTCCCATATTAGCTGCATTTTAGCGCAAGGACGCGAATTACGATTTCCTTATTGGCGACTTGTCTTCATGGTCGGCGGAGTTTCTCCACAACACAAGCGCTGAATGCCTTCACAGGCTCCGTTGTTATGACAACAGAAGCAGCGCTGCACGGGTGGCACGTGACACAGAGGGAGTGGGCGTGGCAGAGGGAGTCCTCTTCTGGGTCCTGACTATGGTCCTGCGTCTCCCCTTTCACTACCTTTTCAACACTGCGCAGCAACGAAAGCCACAGCTATTGCTTTACATCACATTCAACCCGAGCCATCTTGGGAATAAATATTAGCAGCACTGGATTTTGAATCGCCACTGCCAGTTCATTGATAAAATTATAGAGAGCCTGTTTGCAATGGTCAGCGGGAACCATTGCAAGGTGGAGTTCTGCACGTAGGACATTTGACGTCATTAACCTGACAGTAGCTGTGAGAGAGCACTAGAAAACACAAAACGCGAAGTACAGCTCTGCCAAACCTGTTAGAAATTTTGGAATGGGGATAGCGTCTGAATGAATTTGGAAAATGTCAATCACTAGAAGGAGGTGGATTTTACCGGCACCTGCTACAAGTACCCATTTTACTGGCTTACAGCTTCAGCGTGGCTGTGAGTGACGCGCTCAACGCACCTATCCGCGCCTGGGACAGTCCACGCAACGCGACTTCGTGCTCTCTTGCCGGTGCTCACGACTACTTGACTTCTGCAGTGCGGGGACTGTTGCGTTTTATGGAAGGGAAGTCTGTGCACTCACTTGTGGTCATGCTGCCCCCCAAAAACTGTCTGCCGAGAAACTACAGCTGCATTGCTGGACTATTCGGTAGCCTAACGGCAGCAAACCCACGCCTTGAAGAAGGAGATGATTTTGATGTGATAAACGTCACTTGTGAACCTGTCGAGTGCCCTGTGGTGGACGAGAGACCACGGGGCAGGGAAATCCTTCTAAAGCCACCACAGAGTCCTACTCTGCGGCGGAGATGCAAGTCGCTCCCTACGTCAACGGAGAGAGCAAAGTTAGAGATTTCCCGTAGCAGAAGTCCGACCAGCCAGAAAAAAGTCCGCTTCGCCGACTCTTTGGGCTTGGAGCTGATCTCTGTAAGGCATTTTAATGATGCTGACGAACCAGATGTGCCAGAGCGTATCTTCGCTAAATTACCCAAAGGAACGATGCACCTTAACCATTTGGACACAAAGTTCCCTAGACCCGTTACGCACGCCATGTTTATGGAGTTGGAGTTCACAAATCCCGGCACTCTCCCTGGCTTCGAGCAGAGGGTGAGAGAGGTGAAAGTCTTATTGGAATCTGTGGAGGCTGATGAGTTCAGCCTGTCTGGCTTTGTCCGCGTCTTAAACTTGGCGTTTGAAAAGAGTGTATCCCTGCGCTACTCCCTAAATAATTGGATATCATTTATGGATAGTCTGGCTTCATATGTTCCCAACTCTAGCGATGGCGCCACTGACAAATTCTGCTTCAAAATCGTTATGCCCACCTACCTGGACAATGGAGGCACATTACAGTTTGCAATTAAATACTGTGTCGGTGGGCAGGAATACTGGGACAATAACAATGGAATCAATTACAAGGTACGACCACGCCGGTTGAAGATGTCCCCGCCCCGCGAATGGGAAAATGGATGGATACACTTTATCTGAGCCTTGTGCGTAAATACGCATTATGATGATTCTCCCCGGTTACACAGTAGCCTCTTTTTCCCAGTTATTAGCTCGAAATCTTAAGTGTTATCGGCTAATTGGTGCATTTTGGTCAAATTCTGTATATTTTTAGTGTTGCGCATTACCAAGCCTCTGATAGGTACCTGCTGTAGAATGGTCGCCGATGTCAGAGCGTTGCACGCAGTGCCCTTTGGGGGGCATGTTCGCATTATGTAATGTGGAGACACGTGCCGAGGAAAACGTGCCGGGTATAAAACGACCACTGGCATCAGGCCCCCCGTTATGCACACACACACACATATATATATATATATACATATATATATATGTGTGTGTGTGTGTGTGTGTGTGTGTGTGTGTACAATTAATTAATTGGATCAAATAACTCAATTATGCGTGTGTATATAGTCCATTTAATTAATTGTTCAAATTATACTTTATTTCTATGTATGTTTAATCTTCAGGATTGCCTCCTATGTTTTTTAGAACATACAAACTTTTCTAATTGCAGCCTATTTTATTTATTGTTAGATTTTTGTTTGTTTTTTGTTTTTATCTGACTCTGAGCTATTACTGATCTTTTTGTCTGTATCCCAGGATTTCACACACCTTGTGCCCCTTTAAGCTACCAGAAAACCTGCTATCACTATACTTAAATTAATCATATACAGTCTTTCCCTTGCATGTAACAGATGCTGTTTTATGGCCTTAGGTGTAGTATATGATAATCTTACAGTGTTACAAGACCAGACACATCATGTTAATGGTAGCTGTAGAACTATGAGTATCACTTAGGCCTTTGTGTACATGATGAAGGCTTCTAAAATCTGCTCTTTTTAATAGGGCATTCTGCTTTGAATGTAGGTGACATGAACTATTCTTGTGACCACTTTTTGGAGCAGATTAATTGTGTTTTTATTTCCAGGATGTGTCCATAACTCTCAATGACATGAAAAACACTTACGAATTGGCTTATTTCTTTGGTTAATGTTCTTTATAACAATACTATGTACTTTCAATGGCCAAACATTGAGTCATCTGTAATTATGTGTTTTTTTATGTGAGTAATTTTAGTACAAGTTCTACACCCTGTGCAGTACTAGTCCAGAAAGCAAAAGTCTTACAGGTCAATGTGTAGAGTGATGCATCAATCAACAGACTCTATCCAAATCCTGCTCTATTTTTTTTTTCTATGGTTGTGAAACATGTTCCATTCTGTTATTGATGCATCAATATTGAAGGGCTTTGGGTCACTTACATATTGACCCTTGTATACCACTGCATCACAGCTCACTTAAGTATAAATATGTGTGTAAATGTTTAAATGTTTCACCTTGAATGTCTTCCTACTACTGTATTTTGTGTTTGTCCTTTAAAGTGGAGATAGAAAGTTGAAGAGAATGAAGTTTCTATCTGATGGAGAGATAAAGTTGAATTGAAAAGCACATTGTATATTTGGGCTATGGATAGTGTGACATTTTGCCTAAAATTATTTTGTAAAAACAAAACATTTGCAGTCTAAAAGTGCATTATGTATTCCTTAAAATGTTACAAAATATATTTAAACACATTGTTTAGGACCATGTATAATTGCTAACTGACAATTTATTGACAGGGGCACTTTATCTTATGGTGAAATTTGACATATGATTGTAGTGGACTGCTTTGAGATGGTAAAAGCAGGTTTGATGCACCTTTGGGCCAAGGGGAATGGACTAAAATGACACTGGTCACTTCAAAGCTATACCAAGAGGACATCCATTTTTGTTATTATTATTATTATTTTTTTATTGTGTAAAGCACTTTAGTAAAGTTGCACATTTTGTTATGTTCATCTGATTTTGTCATCTGCATTAAACATTTTTTTTACTAGCATGCACTGTTAAAACTCACCTTTAAAGGGCAGTTTTAGAGTTTACTGTATTATACATTTTGTTAAACCACTATGAAATAAAAGCATTTGTGATCAATACATTTATGTCTCAATTATGATGTAGGGTTGATTCTCAAATGCACTGCATACATCAAAATAACTGCAATTAAGTTAGAAGCAGACTACCGTTGGCTGCATCCATCGCCATTGATGATATGTTTGCAGAAATGTCCTTGAATAGATTTCACACTTTTTTTTCCTCTTTTCTTGCCTGAGACTAAAGCTTGAAGCATGCAAACAACTCATTAGAACTTGTGTCAAAATATGGTCACAATAGCTGCCTTGTTTGCAGTCCAAAGCCTATAAGGCCTGTTCAGTGGCTCTGCACATGCTTTTCAATGGGAGCTATAGGGGACTTTGGTGGCAGATGCCAGAAGTGGAAGAATACCCCCCTAACCTCTTTGAATAGCAATTGGCAATCAGTGGAGGCTGAGCAAAACCTTGCCGGCTTATCACAGATTTTTTGGCATCTGCACAGATGACAAATACAGCAATTCATCCCTCCTGCTGGAATAATGCAACATAATCCCATCTACAGTTTTTTCAGGGATGTAGAAGTATTATCTAATATAAACAGTCCCTGACAAAAGTCTTGTCACTTATCCATTTTGTAGAAACAAAAGCTTATAACCTGATTTTAAATTAATCGATTGGTTTTAGAAATGTCTCATATGAAAGCTAAAACCCTCCCAAATTACGCTCAATATACTAAAATAAATTTGCTTCACTGAAGAAAGACTGATCATTTAATGAACACAGAGGTCAGATTTTGGCAAGACAAAAGTCTTGTCACCTATAGAAAATTGAACAAATAATTTACTTCAAATACAAAAATATGTTGCATAACGTCAGTGAATTAAGTAGTGATGCTGTGAGATCCATATTTAATATCTTGTATGACTTCCATGAGCTTGAAGGACTGCATCCATGTGGTTCGACAATGATTCATACAATTTGTTGATAAAGTCATCAGGAATAGCAAAGAAAGCGTCTTACATGCCTCCCAGAGTTCATCAAGATTCTTTGGTTTTGCCTTCCATGCTTCCTCTTTCATTCTACCCCAGACATGTTCAATGAGGTTCATGTCTGGTGATTGGACTGGCCAGTCCTGGAGCACCTTGATCTTCTTTGCCTTGAGAAACTTTGATGTAGAGATAGAAGTATGCGATGGAGCACCATCCTGCTGCAAAATTTGACCCCTTTTATGGTTGGGAATGTAAGAATCTGACCTTTCTGCATTCATTAAATGATCAATCTTTCTTCAGTGAAGCAAATTTATTTTAGTATATTGAGCATAATTTGGGAGGGTTTTAGCTTTCATATGAGACATTTCTAAAATCAATCGATTAATTTAAAGTCAGGTTATAAGCTTTTGTTTCTACAAAATGGATAAGCGACAAGACTTTTGTCAGGGACTGTACATATCCTTTGTTGGCAATTAGTGAGGTGGGAATATAAAACAGTTGAGCATAACATTAGATTTGCCTGAAGGTCAGCAGTGACAATAAAAGCAGAATAAATAGACCATATGGTTTCCTGTTTTATTATCAAGTGTTAATCAGCCTTTGTGTTACAGAAAGACTGTTTGGGAGTTTCACATGATGTGAATATGCAGATATTATTTCAGCAGATTTTATTTGAACAGGTAGCTTATTTCTATCTTGTAAAACTATAGTGACAACAAGCCTGATCACGAGCAAGAATTCACATCAAAACATTTCTGTACAGTGATAGAATCCTGACTCAGCAGTTGGCTGTTGTGCTACCTCTTTATCACCACTTTGAGCCTCGAGCTGAATAATTAATTGGCCAATTGATCTTTCCAGAATGGAAATTTGCTTTGCTACTTGGAAGTGTTTACAGAATCAGAGCTATAAGTAAGTTTGTAGTCTCCCTATCTTTCTGTATATTACATGTTTTTATCCAAACTTTTCCTGCCAATAATCTTCTACTCATGCACAAATTAATTCTTACTATTATTCTTTTGTGTACAGATAATGATGTGAAAAGTGCAAGACATCTTTTTCTCATGAATCTCTCATATGGCACGGCAAGTGGAAAATTCCTATATCAAAATAGACAAAGCAACAAGGGAATGCAGGCCATAAAATTATTGACCTTATATCTCCCAAAGGGTTTCTATAGATCTCAACTGAAAAGCTCAATGTACAGAGTGGCTAAGTTTCTTACCACTGTCAAAAACTTTTAATACTCCAATTAAAATAAATTAGTTGAAAAAAATGGTGAACAAAGAAATGCATTTAACATACAGTCGTGGATAAAATTGTTGGTACCCCTCTGGCAATGAAAAAAAAAATCAACAATCATCACTGAAATAACTTGAAACTGATAAAAGCAATAATAAATTTAAAAAAAAATACTGAAAATTGTCAAACAAAAATCAAACATTGCTTTTCACCTGTAGTTCAACAGAATTATTAGAAAAAACAAAATAATGAAACTGGCCTGGACAAAAATGATGTTACCCTTAACTTTTGTTACACAACTGACACTAGGCAACACATTTCGGTCCAAAATACCTTGATAGTTTAGAGATTTTGTTGTACCTTGCACAGATTCAAGACACCCTGTACCAGATGCAGCAAAACAGCCCCAGAACATGACCAAGCCTCCTCCATGCTTCACAGTAGGGACAGAGTTCTTTTCTTGGTGTGTTTCATTTTTGTGTCTGTGAACATAGAGCTGATGTGCCTTGTCAAAGAGCTTCAGTTTTGTCTCATCTATCCAAAGAACATTCTCCCAGAAGCTTTGTGGCTTGTCAATATGCATTGAGGCAAATTCCAGTCTCACTTTTTTATGATTTACTTTCAACAGTGGTATCCTCCCATGAAGTCCACTTTGGCTCAAACAGTGATGGATAGTGCAATTTGACACTGATTTACCCTGCCCTTCAAGTTCACTTTTAATTTCTTTGTAGGTTGTTCTGGGCTCTTTGGTTCCATTCATATGATCCATCTCCTCAATTTGTCATAAATTTTCCTTTTGCAGACGCGTCTGGGGAGGTTGGCTACAGTCCTGTGGACCTTAAACGTCTGAATAACATGTGTAACTGTAATAACAGGAACATCACACTGCTTGGAGATGGCCTTATGGCCTTTATCTTTATTCTGCTTGTCTATAATTTTATTTATAGTCTCCTGACACAGTTCTCTTCTTCACTTTCTCTGGTCCATGTTCAGTGTTGTCTCCATCATGTCTCCAAACAGCACAATGACAACATGTCTCCCTTTAAACAGGGAGACTGACTGAGGACAAGTTTGAATACACCTGTGATGCAGAATTGCAGATTAGAGGACACACCAAAGTTTGTCCAATTGTCCCTATAGTTCAGTTACTTACAATATTTTCTAGGGGTACCATCATTTTTGTCCAAGCCAGTTTCATTAGTTAGTTTTTTTTAAATAATTTTTTTGAACAACAATTCAAAAACAGTGGCTGATTTTCATTGGTTATTTTTCAGGATTTTTAAAATTTATTATTGCTTTTCTTAGTTTCAAATTATTTCAGTAAAAAATGTATATTTTTCTTTCATTACCAGAGGGTACCAACAATTTTATCCATGATTGTATACATATCATACAGTTTATATCAATCATGATAATTATTAGACGGACTATGTTAATCAACAAACCAACTGTGTAATTAAGATTCCATGACCGACAAGATATTATGAGTATCCTTGTTCCTAAATGAATAAATTAACACAAAAAACAATTTAAAGCTATAATATGTTGTTCATTATTTGGCCTACTACATTTTCAAATAATCATTATTGTTACTGTATTTCATAAAAATAGGAGATGGTGCATACATTTCACAGCACTCTGTTCATTCCACACTCAATGACCATGTGATGAGAGGGGTTGATCAGTGGGGTATAGAGCATCATTATTCACAAGCAGACAGATCTGTGCTTGCTCTCTAAAAATAAACAGACCATGACTGAGATGCAGACTATATGGATGACTAAATTGACAAAATATTGATGGATTCCTGTTATATGCAACATTTTTAGGACTTTTTCATGTTTCAAAGATAGATTTTGTTAAAGGGCCTATAATGCACTACTTTCTGATGCATGTTTTAATATTGTTCCCTCATCAAAAACATACCTTCAGATGCATTTTGTTTCAAAAATTAGCAGCTGTTAACTTAACAACTACAACTACATGACATCACAAGGTGGATCAGAGCATTTTGAGCTTTGGAGATGTAGACAGACAAATAATAAAGGTTTACTCAAATGTGTGAATGAAACCAAACACACCTCCAGGTATGTTTTTGATGAGGTAGCAGCATCATAACATGGCTTAAAGCTCACAAGAGTCAATTTTGTGCAATAATATAGAACTTTTAATCTCCATGACAATGATCCAAATCTTTCATAATCCTAAAATCCATGGATATATCTTTGCAAGCATGAGGACAACAGTACATCATTACACTCTGAAAATCTTGATGAGATTTATGCACTTTGTCATTAAAGTCTGTTCAAGCCTAGTGTGTCCTTGGGTGACCGGCATTCAATGTCACTTCTTCCAAATTTGGAGGGGTGTCCTTGGTGATTTGTCGTCCCGGATGATGTCACTACCTCCGTCACCCTGTCCTCCATTTAAAAGGCTGTTGTCTGGTTGCCTCTCTCTGTGGAGCTGGGAGTGAATCAGCAAAACACATCTCCTGTCAGCATCTATTGCCTCCACAATAACAAATACTCCCAAGACATTAGAATATCATAAATAATAGGTCAAAATCAAAACATTCTGCTGAAAACATGATTATGCCAGTAGCTGTTTTCGATTGAAATCACTAAATGGCTGTCATTGCATTTGCATTGCATTGTAAATTAAGATCATCTATCCCTCTGTGTCTGCCCTTGGGTAATCTGAATCCTATCAGTGTCACCCAGGTGCTCACATCTCCTCCTGTCCTGATACGTCTTGATCTGGTTATAACAATAGGGCTCATGAAATAATTAT